ATTAGTCCAACCCAGAGCTGCACATGGGTACACATCTTAACAGGAAACATAAATTTGTGATATCAAGAGAGAGAAAAAATTACCGGTAGCCAAAAATTATCCGATTCTCTTTATTAACAGAAGTCAAAAAATGCTTTGTATCATTTGTGTTTTTGTGTCCTGGTGACCCTGCGTGGATCAGCAGGTACAGAAAATGGATGGATGTGTTTTTGTGTGAAGGGTATAAAAGCTAAATTCTGCTTTCTAGAGACAGGAAAAAATCAAAATAATCATAAAGTTCAGCTTTTAAATACTATGATAAAGGAGACATACACAAAACTCTTTTAACATCCTTTTGTGCTACTATGTGGGTCTCTACTGCCTCTATAAACACTCCAAACATGAAAAAAAATCTATCCATCCATTTTCTTTCATTGTTTGGTTTTAAGAATTATGACCCTAAAAGAAACATTTCAAAATGTCGCTGTTTGTGATGTCATAAACGGGGAAATTAGCATAGGACCACCCCTCATGTACAACAGAAAGCTGCTCCTGGAGGAGCAGCAGCTCTGAGCCCCAAGTTGAGTTTACTTCCTTGTCTGCTGAAACACCAACTATTACAAATTTACTTTGAAGTCAACTAAATTAAAGAGAACAAAAGGCCACAAACTGGCTCATTTTCACTGAATGAAAATTCTCTTTATACTTGCTTCAACTATGTTTCAACCCTCGTCTTTCTACCATAAGGGCTAATGAACGACATGGTGTCTCGTGGGTCAATAGCAGCTTAAGTGGGGGGTGGGTGGGCTTGGCCACCTCAAGCTTGTTTTCTTGAAGTGACAAAGCCCTAAAACTGCTCACTCTGGAAGGTACTGAAAATGTCAAGGATAAAACCGCTGAGAAAACTGAGAAAACATGTTAAATGTTAAATGGATAATGGCCTATACTTGTATTGCACCATCTTAGAGTTCTATAACCCCCCAAGGCGCTTCACAACACAAGTCATCCACCCATTCAGATGCTGGTGATGATGAGTTACACAGCAGCCCTGGGGTGCACTGACTGAAGCAAGACTGCCGAACACTGGCGCGACCGGTCCCTCTGACCAGCACCAGAAGGCAAGGCGGGTTAAATGTCTTGCCCAAGGACACAACAGCAGCATTCTCTGGCGGGAGCCGTGAATGAACCTAAAATCTTTCGATTACTGGACAACCAGCTCAACCTTCTGAGCTACTGCTGAATATAACTGCTGAAATTGCCTTGAGTAAGAGGGATTTAGTGCAAAGAACTTCATAAACATGTCTTGTATCAACCATAGAACTATTACAACTTAAGAAAACGGTCATAACATGTCTCTTTTAAATGCTTCTTCACAGTGTATTTCTTCCACACACAGACAAAACACTTTGGGTTAAGGTATTCTACTTTCATTTAATTTGACACATTATTGGAGTTTGTGGAAAGTGACAGACATGCAGGATGAATGTGTCCAAGGAAAAATATGTAAAAATAAGTAAATAAATAAACTGAGAAAAAGAAGAGTTGGTTTAAACAGGAAACATGCCAATTGTGTAGAAAATATGTGGATTTCAAATCTGCACTACAAAGCTCCGCAAAATGGGATTAATTCTTCTCCGTTTTCTTGATAAATACCAAGAACACCCGGAAATGTGCCGACTGCTTTTGAGGAGTGACAAGAGGTGTCGGCACGTGTTTATGTGTGAGTGTGTGTGTGTGTGTCTGTGTGTAGTGTGTGAGATTCAATTCAATTCAATTCAAATTCAAAGATAATTTATTAATCCCAGAGGGAAATTAGAGTTTCAGTACACACAATTCTGAGATCAGACATACATACATAGGCATAGACACATGACAAGAATTGGTGACTGTGGTCATTCGCAACCCGAGTGGCCCTACCTTAATGGAGATCAGAGGGTTTACATGAGGATTGAATAAGGTGGAGGAAAAAAAAGACACTTCAGAGTTACCCTCCACAGGGAGGGCAGCTTTGCTATGCAAAAAACACCTCAGACAGAAATGCAACAGACTTCAGACATTACACAACATAAGTGTCCACTAGGTGGGGAGGTAGGGTTGGGGGCTATCCACACATCAGTGCATGCAGCCATGATAAGCAGCGCTCGTCACCTCCGTTTGGACAGGGGAAGGAGGTATTTGGATTAGAGAGCACAGTGACTCCTGGAAACGATTCAACGGCCTTCACTGGTCGCAGTCCCGCCCAGGCTGGGATAGGGAGACAGAGTTACCATGGCGACGGCAGCATTCCACGTTTCTTCTGAGGGGGAGTAATCTCTTCAGCCTCACAGGCTCAAGGGCACCAGATTCAGATAAGAACTTGTTTTGGGGCCAGACAGAGATAATTTCCTCTCTGTCTTAAAGTTCTGTTGATCTCCAACCCCTCTAAATCCAATAATGGCGTAAATTAATCTGTCCCAATCCGTGCTGACCCGTCAACTCTATCCTTGATGGCATCAACCTTCTGTGCCAAAGTCTTAATCTCAGCCAAAGTTCCAAGCTTACGACTCATCTCAACAATCATATGAGTTTGTGCATTCACAGCTCGGTTTAATCCATCCCTGAGCTCCGGGATTGAGCCAATATTCCTCGACAGCTCCTTAATTTTCTGGTAAGCCAGGTAACCGCTCAGGCCAAACAGCACGAAACCTGACACCGACACCACGAATATCCAGACGTCTTCAGAATCCTCTACTGACAGTTGAGAGAGGCAGATCAGGTTCCACTGTTTCCAGGAGTCCATGATATGCCCAGCTGTCTCTGTCCCAGAGGGGCACCCGGGAGCCCCTTCTCCCGTTCTCATCGTTGAAAAAATTTTGTCAATCACGTTGAGAGACCAACTGATCAGGTCCATTTTAATAATTTCCAGTTTCCAGTTCCCAGAATAAATGCAGAAGTGCCGTACACCCAAAGACAGACAAAAAAGCCTTGGGATAAGATAGGGAGGAGAGGAGGAAAAAAGCATCTGAACTCTCCAAGAGCCGGAAGAAGTTGCCGTTTGTGCAGAGCTGAGTTGGGTTATTAATCCTGTCACAGTCCAGCTTTTTTACCGGTCAAAGGATGAGAGGGGAAAAGTGAGAGAGGGAAAATGAAGGAAGACAGAGGAAGATGTGAGGTGAGGAAATGCAGAGAGGAGATGGAAGAGACTGAGAAAAGGAGAGGTGGAGAAGATATTGATTCAGATCTTAGGAGAATCACATCACAAACTAATTCGCTGACTGCAGGCTGTGACACCTTTACTGTAATTTATCTTGTCATGCTGGAGCACCACCTTTCTGGTGTCTGCACCAGACTGCTGAAAACTTTCTCTAGAAGTTCAGTGTTGATGCTTTAGCTACAAGTTTTGCTCCCCTGCAAACTACTCTGAAGGGGCGTGTCCCTTTTCCTGCAAAACACCGACCTAAAAAGCAAGACAGTAAAACATCTAGAACAATCAATAAAAACATAAAATCTAAAACAGAAACACTAAAATCATCAACATCGTCATCATCAAATGTAAAATCATTTGGAAGTTTAATATTTTACTGTTTTAGAAAATTCCGATAAGGAGACTATTGGGTTCAAATAAAACAACAAACCACACCAGATACTTCATTTCGTTATTTCACTCATATTTTTCATTTTTTCATTGGTATTTGATTTTAAAGCTCATCTATTTCTGTTGTTAGTTGAAAAGTATTTAAATAATTAACCCTCTGGAGGCAGGCATTGCAGATTTGCAACAGTTAAAACCAACCTACCTGGTGACTCCACAGACATTTTTCATGAGCATTTTTTAACTCAGAAGTACCCCTGAAGGACTTAGTTGTTCATCCTTTTATCAAAACTTATTTTAAGCCTGAGAGGGTTAAAAATTAACAAAAAGGTCAAATGCACAAAAATGCTAACATCTATTCACATAAAGTGCACCCTCTTCTTTTTTCTAAAATAATCCTGACTTTACAATTTCAGAGAAAGTCCCAATTTTATTATAATAAATTTATGCATTTATTAATTGAAAACCTTATAATTATTGATAAAAGGTAACCCTTACCTGACTTTATTTTGTTTTATAGTAGCCAATTAGATTATGATGAATGATTTTGTAAATAAATTAAACTAAAAAAAAATGTATTTTTTATAAGTTGTACGTCGTTTACATGTGCTACCCTTGTCCACATTTGTGCCCGTACCTGGCCACCCCCAAATCTTTCTAGACACGCCACTGTTACTTTGAAAAACACATCCCAAAGTAAAGATAATTAAATAGTTAAATACAAATAAGAGAAATTAAAAATAAACGGAAGGCCTAGCATAAGTCTGTCATGTCAGAGATGTGCTGAGAAAAATGAAGTTACAGTCGTTTTGGTCTAATCTTTAAATTAAAATCCTGCATAATTAGATAGCTGAGTGTTAATGACTCTCAGCTAAAACATTTTAGCTCAATATCTGTACAACTGACTGATCCGTACCCATTTCTGCATTTGATAAAGTTGATTAGCAGCCAACTCCCAAAACAAAGCAGTTATAGATGCTGATCTACTGAAAACTTTCTTAGTGTTTTTAAATAAATCTGCCCAACATCTTCTTCTGTTTTTATTCAGTTAAATAAATTGTGTTCAATAAGAATAAAAACAGGAGTTAAAGATGAGACTACAGCCCTCATAGTGCATCTGTCAAGATTATTCTAAACTAAAAATCACTTCCTTCAAAACAAAATGCACTAATCCAGATTATTCTGCTTGTTTTTTTTTAAATGCCCTTCTTTTTACATGAATGAAAGCTTTTGGAGAACTGTGAGATTAGTGGCACACATATCAAACAGCTGGTTATTTTTGTGATCTTCTCCTCGAGGAAGGGAAACAGTGTGTTTGTTGCAGACAACAGGTGCAGAAACAGCAGGAACCGACGAGACAACACACTCCTACAAATGCCCAGAGATGAGTTTGACTCAGATAAACACAAACCGAAGCTTTTAAGAGAACAAACTGGCCGTTCAGACTCACCGTCTTCCTTGCACTCCTCCGGCGGCTTTGCTTTCTTTGCGAGTCGAGGATCGAGCCACGACGTGGTTTTGGTGTTGTGACTGGAGGAGAAACAGAGGTGTAGATGAAGGTGGGGGCTGGTAGCAAACGAAAAAGACTGACGGAAAAAATAAAAGAGATGACGCGAAATGCCACCAACATGATCGTGGTTCTTCACGTGTGCGGGGGATTTCTGAGGGAAACAAAACGCCTATTAATCCACTAATTAGCCTCCTGCCACTAATTAGAAAGGGCGAGAGGAAAGTTACTCCTGCAGGATGTATACACATTCCACAGATGCAAAAGTTTGGTGATCAGCAGAAGTCACATCAATTATTCATCATAGAGTTTACTCAAGGCCAAACACAATCCACGATTTTAAACGGGATTATTCTAGTATATTTTACTTGATTTATTCTAGAAATAAACAAAATATGCAAAAAATGGTTAGTTGGTACAAAAAATGTCATTTCTGTTTATTTTTTATGTGAGGTTGTAATGAGTGGTCCGTAGCTCAGCAGTCAGTTGGAGGGATTTGAGTTTGGAGATACTTGAGTGAGAAAAATCAGATAAGATTGCACCCAAAAACAAACAAACAAAAAATGTCTACCGGTGCATCATTTCCAGGAACTAGAACATATCACAGTTGAGCTTCAGATGGCAGGTTTTGGAGTCTTGTTTCCTGATATTTGGACATCTCGCCTCAGATTGCATAACAGCAACGCTACCACTGATTTACAACTCTAATGCTTTATCTCCACAAATAATAATAATAATTATCAAACTTATGTAGCGCGTTATTAGGACACTCAAAGATGCTTGTGTGAACTTTCTCATTCACACATTGCCAGTGATGGTAAGCTACTATGTAGCCACAGCCGCCCTGGGGCGGTCTGACAGAGGCAAGGCTGCCATTTGGCGCCGTTGGCCCCTCTGACCACCACCAACACAGGCAAGTTGGGTGAAGTGTCTTGCCCAAGGACACAACAGCAGAATACCTCTGGCGGCAACTGGAATTGAGCCCATGACCCTCCGATCATGAGGCAACCCGCTCTACCACCTGAGCTACTACTGTCCCAAATAACACAAGCCTGGAGGAGGTCTGCAGTGTGGTGAAGTTGCTAATGCTAACGGTTAGTTTCTACTAGCCGAACTGTTCTTTGCCGCTTCCTGGACGCTAAACCAACAACAGCCTTCTCCGCCATGAGTCTAGATGGGTGAGTCCATGAATGTTAAGTGACAGTGTGACGTAGATCTGTCAGGCTTTTCAAATCCTAGAGTTTTACCGTCTAATTTCTATCAGAAGATAATGCAAGGAGATAGGTGTAGGAGACTATTTTCATGTTCACGAAAAACTCAGAGTGACTGATTATATCAGAAATAATTATCAAAAAAAATTGTTTTTCAGTTTTCCACACCTTTAGGAAAATGTACCTAATATTAAGTAGTGCTGTTTTTCTTGGTAAGAATGTTTTTATTTTTAGACTAAAAATAAGATAAAATGTCTGAAAATGAGGCTTTTCTTCTTCTCCTAGAAATCAACTTTTGCAGTGAAGACAAATTAGAAGGTTACTTAGATACGTGGCACATGGAACATGCTGCTGAACTTCATAACCTTCAATGTTCAAGTAATGTAATCAAAGTTAAGAGGAGTAACTTTTAAAACAAGCCTTCTCCTGAGTAGCTGTTTACACATTGAAATCACCTTGATTGCTGTAGGAAAAACATTAACTTTACTCTGAAGTACCTCATAAATAAGCAACCCCAACAATCATTTTCATGGAATTAGGAGCTGAATGGAGGCTAAAGTCTTCATGAGGTTAACGTTCATCCCTCAATTATCTTTTTTCACTTGCCACTCACTAAAGGTTAGAATTTGAATTTATGGGACTACAAATGGCTCCATATTTTTCTTGTTTGTATTCAAAAAGTAACAAAAACCAGCTTTAGGAGGCGTTTCTGTCTCACAATTTAATGTAGTGCAACCCTATTATAATGATGTCAATAAATACACCCAAAACATTTTTTTTAGTAAGATTTGAGAACAAAATGTACAAAAAGAAAATTAAAAAGTGTGTTTTTCTCGTACTCTATGAAGTAAACTTCTCCCTTCTCAGTGTAGGCCATCTCCCAGTTGTCAGGCAGGGGACCCAGCTCCTCCACGTCTACGTCCGGGACTTTGGACGGGGATTTGGAGGGAGATTGTGTGGCCTCCTCCCCTTCAGTTGCAGGCTCGGATGATGCTGGGGCCTGGCTGGACCCTTCAACCGCTACCTCCCCAGAGGCGTCTGTGCTCTTGTCCTCATGCTCACTCGACTCTGTGGAACACAAAAAGCACAAAAACAGAGATATTCTCACATGCAGACCTGAATGCACACCACACACGCCATGCATGATGAGTCAGAGTCGAGCCACTGCAGAGCTACAAACCCCCAGGAGACATAGGGAGGGAGGGTAGGGGGGACGGAGTCTAAGAACAATCAGCATGAGCAGAAAACAACGTGGATATGTCAGAAACCGAGAAACAGAGGAAGACGGAAACTATAGGGGTCAGAGATTGAGTCATGAAGAGAGGGGGAAGCTTTCAGATGAAGGAGAAGGGCTGGTGGCGTCTGAGTTAGATGATGAGTAATTTAAGTAGGAAACGCCGTAAAATTCCTGCAAGACCTCAAGAAAAAAAAAGTGAAAGACCAAGAAATTGCTTGTTGAACTCTTCACCGTTAAATCTAGGCGGCTATTTTGTCCGGATGTCTAAAATTTCCTGAAGAAACTTGAAGTGGTAAAAGTAGCAAACACTAGAGGAAAGTGAAAGAAAACATGACAAGTTTCGACAACAGATGATGGAGACAGATGGGGACGGAGGAGGAAGACGAGAGGGCAGCAAAGACAGGACCATGGGGAGGAAGGAGAAAAAAAAAACAGGAGGTCAGGAGGGTGAGGACCGCAAATGAGAGGAAGGGAAAAAGAGAGGAGTGGTGGAGTATTATTAGTAACAAGGACAAAAGCCAGTGGCGGAAAGACAACAAGAGATGGAGAAACGAGAGGACAGATGGACGGGAGCAAAAACCTTTATGAGACCAGTGACTAAAAGTGGAGGCATTAAGGTGACCTTGTTCATACCGTTACATGTGTTAACCTTTGAAGTTCACACTCATGTAAGCAGAGTCTGTTAACATTTGTAAAAAAATGCTCAGGGTGCAGGTTTTTATAGCCACAGACACAAATCTGGACTGTTGGAGAGAAGAAACTTGATCTTTTTAAAATAAAAAAGTAGAACAAGCTTGTTTCTCTGGTTTGAATCCGCTCCAAGACGGGGATAAAAAATGCTCGTGGAGCACGTTTAGCAGCAAGAAGATTAAAAACTTGGCATCAAAACATCGAAAGAGAAAGCAGTTTCTGTCCTGCTTTGCTCCACAGTACCTGGTGTGATTGCGACCCCGTTGCCATTGACGACTGGGATCTCCTCTTCCTCCTCCTCAGGTGGCTCCAGGCTGGTGCGCTGCTCCATGTTGCTTACTGACTGGTTCCTCTTTCTCTTGCCCTGGGCGCTCGGCCGGGCTCCGGGAAGCAGGGCTTCACTCACATTCAGAGGAGGGGCTGCCGGGGACGGCTCCGCTGGAGGTTTTGGTGTGCCGTAGAAGTTATCTGAGGACAGAGAGGAGCAGCAACCTTGGCGTTACAGACCAAATGTGTGCTCACAGAGGTGACGTAACACAGCCTGGATGCAGATCTGAATGGCTCGTGGATTCTGTGAGATTACTGCCTTTCAAAATGTGAAGAATGGGCCGTCTAGACAGAGTGGAGCAGAGATAACTAGGCTGAATTACTGTCTGGTAACTAATCATCTCCAATACAGCGAAGCCCGATCAATGCTGCGAAACCTGCTGGCTCAGGTTTCAGGACGAACTGGCTGATTGGATGTCTGAGAAGACGACCTAACACAGATATGTTTTAATCACTTCTACGATAAATCTGAATTTTGCTCGATGATTCAATAAAAAAGCTACAAAAACTCCATCACATTTACGAGCCATTCCAGTCATGATTGACTCATCACTTCAAATCCTTTTGCAGTTTATCCCGAAAACACACAGCGAACACAGCAGTGCAGCTTGTCAAAATAAGAGTGTGAAATGATGCTGCTAAGACACCGTTGTACATCGCTCTGGATAGGCTTTATTTTAAAATCATCAACTTTTCTGGTTATATAAAGCCTAAAGTATGACATTGACTTTTTAAAGAGACTACAGATTCGGACTGTTGGTGGGTGGCAGAGTTGTGCTGTTTGGTGGAGATTAAAACAAAAAAAAAACATATTTAGAAAGAAAAATTATTTTAATGGCACTAAGATCCCTATAAATAAGAAAAGTTGCTAACGTCAGGCTGCTACGTGACTCACAAGCTGGAAATCAATCTTGATAAGAAAACATGGACAGGCGGTGTTGCTATAAAAGTACAGAAAAGCTGCTTTGGAAGAGTAGATGTTCAAGCAGATGGCAAAAAAAGAAGAAGAAAAAGAAGACAAAAGAAGAAGGAGAAGAAGAAAAAGTAAAAGAAGAAGAAAAAAGAAAAGAAAAGAAAAAGAAGAAGAAGAAGAAGAAGAAGAAGAAAAAGAAGAAGTTGTTTTTGTGTAGCACCATTAAAGATTAAACTCATAAGGGAATTCAGAGCACAATAAAGAATGTTTGAAATTATTTGATACAAAACTTCATTTTAATAACAAAAATGAAATAAAACATTTTAAAAAGATTAATTAAACATTAAGATTAAAAAACAAAAATGAAAAAGAAAAAAAATGACAACCCAAAAATATACAGGAAAGATAGAAAGAACTTTGAGTGTGTGAGGGTCAAAACTGCCCCTTGTTCTTCTTTTTTTTTAATGAACACAAAACAGATTTGTAGTCTTCAGAAGGGGAGAAAGTGGAAGATATGACAAAATTAAAATGTGCTAATTGTGACAAAATAATGTTAATAATAATAATAATAATAATACATATTTTTGTTTTTGTTGATTACATGTTTTATGATTAGTCAAACTTAAATTTAAATTAGAATTTGATTAATTGCAATTCTGATTTTGGAGATTTTTCATGAATGTCCAATTTTCTGTCTCACTGCACGTGTCCACTAGCCTGGCCTGCCAGACTCGTCCTCTGTTTAATTGATTAGATACAAGAAATCAGTGAGAGTGCAGCCACACACAGGAAAACAGGTGTTAAAGCTAATGGAATATATAATTAGATCCACTTATTTGAGCTTTATTTTAATAGACAGATATGCCGTAAAGCCACACAATAATCTTATTTTCTACACTTTTGGCTTAAATACGAGTTCCTGTTGCTGCAGAGCTAAATTTTCTGACTCACTAGTTTGTTGACTCTCAAAGCCCCGACCAGCTGTCAGCTCCTCTTAATTAATCTCACTTTTATTCAACTGTTGCTTTGGACAGATATGGTAGGCACACTTAGAGGGTGATTATTACTCCATTAGAAGGAGGAACCATGTCTAAACTGAAGGGGGAGTGTGTTTCAATAAGAGGAGACTTCCCTCCAAAAATAATTCAGAATTCTAAACAAAGATTTCCTCCTTTTTCTGCTTAATTTTGCAATAAACAGTTATAAAGTAATCAGTTCATATGTGGGTTTATGTAATGGCTTTTGTAAAGCACTTGTTGATTTTCACTTCTTTTATTGTGAAAGCTCCACATGATGTGATTTTCCTCAAACTAAAGGAAGACAATAGAAACATTTGACATCAGTAAGAAAAGTGGTTTTTCTTTGAATTCTGCAGTTTTACCACAAATGTCACTACCAAGACGCAGGCTTAACAGCTGAGGATCGTTTTCCCTAATTTCAGTTTTCTAGTAATTATTTTAAATTTCCGACAAATGTAGCTGGTTCACAATGAAAATGTCTTCAGATGGCCAGGAAACAAAACAACACCTCAGCTGCCGAATCAGAGGACGAATTTATCTGTAGAGCATCCTGACAGTTTGATTTTTAAGCTGTAACTTAAATAAGTAGGAATCAAGATGTTAATGAAACCTCAGAGATGGATAAAACCTCTAACACCTGTCTTGCCATTTCTTTCTCTTATTTAACTTATTTTTATTGTTTTTATGTAGTTTTGGAAATATTTTAGAGTCTGCATGATGCCTTTTATAATACATTTGGATATTTTTCCTTTGCATTAAATGCATAAAAACTAATCTGGCAGATTATAAATATTCAGTTTTGAGAGGAATGGAGAAGGATGTGAATGTGGTTTTAAAACCACATTTTCATTTCCTGTTAAAAGAAATATTGGCTTTCGACAGGACTGAATCGATTATCTGAGCGGGAAGAATTCATGAAATTTTTGATGAAACATTTTGAAAACTCTGCATTGGGGTGGGCGGTATAAACGGTATATGGTAGAAATTATATTAATTTGGCCAACGGTTTGACTATATCGGCCTATCGAGGTAGCGCATGTTGATGACGTCATCAAGCGGCGTCGTCTGTTGAGGCTGAAAGCATGGAGCCTGTGGTGGAGGAGGTTCTCGTAAAGAAAACCGGTGCAACATCGGTCAGTTGGACTTGGTTTGGCTTTAAGGAGTCGGATGTGGAGCAGAACAATATAATCTGCAAAGTATGCTGGAAGAAAGTATTAGCGAATACAGGGAATACATCTAATTTGTTTTACCACCTCAAAACGAAGCACGTTGTGGAATACGAAGAAAGCCAAAAACTACGTCCTCAACAAACGCCCAGTCAGTCGAGCGGTCAGAAAAAAGGTGGTCCTACACACCAGCAGACGGATATTTTACAAGCATTTGCTAAAGTCACTCAGTATGAGAGAAATAGAGAAATAATCAACGGTGGATTGATATTACAAATGCCATTACCACGTACCTGTGTAAGGACATGGTGCCGTTTCTTACAGTGGAGAAAAGCGGCTTTTGGGACATGATTAAGACACTCGATCCACATTACGAGGTACCGAGCCGCAAACACTTCAGCCAAACAGAGATGCCAAAACTGTACGAGAAAGTCCGCTAGCAAGTAAAGCAAGAAAATTAATAAATTTTCTTAAAATGGCATTTTATACTGTTTGAAGTGTGTTTATTCTGCTGCTGCAATGTATCTGGTATGTGAGTATGTTTAGAAACAGTCGTTTTTGACATATATACAAAAGAAAGTCATGTATCGCAATATACACCGTTACCGCACATTTTTCAAATTATATCGCAATATAGATTTTAGGCTATATCGCTCACCCCTACTCTGCATAAATAAATATATCATCTAAAGTATTGGGACACCCCACCAAACCAGTGTTTCCACAGGGCTCAGTGGGTCAGGAAATGTGCAGAATGTGAGACCAGTTTGGGAGGGATTGTTGACCAATGAACTTAAACTGACAGAATCTAAACCTGGCCACCAGGTTTTCAGAAAAGATGATAAAATACGATTCATTTGAGCAACAGTAACATAAACAATGGAGCCAAGTTTACCCATTTTTAACAATTTGTACCTTTTAATCCCAATACTATCACCATTAAACTTTGATTATGTTTGAAAAGAGTAGTTTCTGGAAGCAAAATGTACAAGATGTAAGTTCTGAGGGAAGTTTTAGCAATGCTGAATGTGTTCTTTCTCAGTATTTTGATGGATATCAACCAGTGGTACCTTTCAGCATTTTTATAAGAACACTGTAAATCTAGATACTCTGTCTGTCTGTCTATCTATATCCCCCCCTCGTTTATGCATGTCTGGAGTAGTTTTGAGGTCTAGAAAGAGAATTTAACATTCTGAGGGACATACACAAACAACTCTGGAACCATATTGGGGACATGATTAAGCTGGAAAGGAGAATTTAAGACACAGTGTTGAGTTTGTGTGACATTTGCACAAATTTAGAAATTTATTTGCAGTTTGACACAGGAAAAACTACCAAAAGTTCCACAATTCACAGTGAATTTACAGAATTTCAAGCTGAGGATGTGTGTGCTATAATTGTGTGTCCAGCTGGTTTTAGCCCAGTGAGATGGTGATGTCAGAGTCCCAAAAACTAGGTTTCAAACATATCATCAGTTGACATTACTGAAGGGTCACAGCCTGTAGAAATAAAACATGCATTTTAAAGTATGAAATAAATAAACTATTTATCTTTCAGGTTATGGAAACATGAACAGATTTCCTTCTTACTTTCTCACTGAAACGTAAAGAGTCTTTTTTTGAAAAGCACCCTTTTTGTAATCCTCTAAAGAGTTAAGTTCACAAAGAGGAACAACATTTTTAAAGAGAATCAGGTCCAGTCATTGTTTACGGTTTCTGGAAGTACTTGAATTGGTTCAAAGGAGGATGGAGGATACAGGAGGCAGGACATGAAGTCAACTCTGCTGTTAATTCTCAGAGGAGGAGTCTTTTTCTTTCTAACATGAGCTCATTTTCTAACCGGAACGTTTTTATTCTCCCATTCTTCTATTTGGGACAATATCCAAAAAATCTCACGGGTGCCGTACAAGTGTAAAAACATTAAAGGTCAAGTGCAAAGACAAGTGAATAAAGCAAAGAAGGAAGGAGGAGGCAGTGAAGAAATAAAAAAACCCAAAGGGATCAGGATTTATGACGTCGAAAAGGCCGATAGACATTAGGAGCTGTATTAAAGCCTCCACTTCCTCAGTTCCCCTGCTGCTCTCGAGACAAAATTAACACATCCTGCCACAGATGTAAAAGTGCACACAGGTAAACAAAGACTCAAGTATGACACTGCATAAGCAGTAAAGCACGCACCTGTGCAGGCTTAAAGCCGACCTGATGAGACGCTTCAGAGAACATAAAGCACAAGGAGATACGTTTGAGCCCTTGTGCCTCTCGCTGGTTTCAAAGCTAAATGTTCCCCTGATGGTGAGCATGAAGGCACCTCAGCTTTAGTACAGTTACATCCACCCTCAGCTGTGACTCACCTCACAAGGTTACATACGTGCACAAACAATGACAACCACACAAACAATATAGGTAATTTACAGAACCCACTTGAAATCAGGCTCCTTTGTTGCCATTTTGCATCATTTTAAATGATCTCTAAAGTTAAAATTAGTCAAAGAAGATTTTCATTTTATATTTGACCTTAATAGTCTTGCAGCTTTATTAAATGTTTCCTGTACTGCTACAAACCAGGAAAGAGTCACGACTCAAACCATTTCTCTTCAGAAACAAAATGCTTTATCCCACTTTTACATAGAAAGCACGCTTCATTCAGTGAAAATAAACCTTTAATTCATCTGATTATTAATATTATTTTAATATGTCACCCAGACGTAATGCCTTCTAAAAATACATTATTTTCATCTCCTCACCTCAGATCTTTCCTACTCCCTTATTTCTTAATTTAATGTGAATCAGATAAACGAGTTGCAGCACCTCCAGTGCAGCCAGCCAGAGAGAGACAGCTTCCCCCAACGGGCACAACTAAGCTCTGTGTTGTGGGGAAACATACTTTTATGGTGGCGTGTGCGCGTGCGAGATGGGAACACACTCACGAACACACCCGTGCCTGTAAGCCCCTTCACATGCACATTTACGCACAATTTGTGTGAGCGTGGCTCGACCGCTTTTAACATTTCTTCTAGGGAAATGAACCAGCAAATCCTCAATCTGCAGATGTATCACTGACAGTGTAGCAAAGCGGAGACACACAGACTTGACGTGACGTGGAACTGGCATTAGTTCAGCTGACACGCACTCAACGCTCCACAGCCACAAGGGGAAGCCGTAATGCTTAATGCTCAGTATATGTTGAGGCAGAGGCCTCAAGTTTGTTTGCTTAGGCTGTGTACAAGAGCATCACCTGACACATCTGATTAATCAAGTAAATATATTCACGCTGAAGCACGAGAAGGCAGAGGGAGTTTCAAAATAGCCCCGCGCCCAGTTTTTGCACCCCAGGCACCTGCTCTTGTCTCGCAGATGCTCCCACATCTCACCTTCATAGGTTCCACTCTCTAACAGGGCTCCACTTTGCTCCAGTTCCATAAAACGCTCCACGCTCACAAAACTGTAGTCCACCCCAGGCACCTCCCCCTCCTTTGGCTGCCTGGTGGTACCTGCAGAGAAGGGGGGGGGGGGGGGGGGGGGAGTAGAGAAGGAGAGGTCATTATTGCCAAATAGGACACTTGAGAAGAAAAGGCAGGAAGGCAGGAAGAGAGCCAAGAAAAAAAGGAGGGCTGGTCAGGAAAAGACAGCAGATTTGAGGCTAGAGAGTGTATGAGAGGAAGTGGGAGGGGAAGGGAAATGGAAGTGAAGAGGCTGACTGAGGAGTCATCGCTTGTGATCGCCAAATCCATTCACACAATTCTCTGAGAGTGACAGTGAGAGACAAATGGAAGGGAGCAGCAAACAGCAAAACACCATCGCTCAGTGCCTACAAGCCAATCTGATGCTGCTTCAGTAATGACTGGATCAATATGGCAGTTTTAGCAGGCATAAGTCAAACCCCCTTACATAGCCCACAATACAGTGCCGATTGGATCACTGTGGAAACAGCGGGAAAGCAGAGGCACCACATTACCATGCAGCAATTAGAGCCTTCCTACATCAATGCTCTGGAGATCTTCATCAGTGCAGCAGCGTCAAGGCTCGGCTGCGTAATGGCAGCGAGGGGAGTTTTGAGTTTAATGAGGTGCTGTGTTTGTGTCCCTGCCAAGTGGACTTTCAGCTCAAGCTCAGTGAAATCTGCCAGTGTTGATCCCTGCTCTCTATCGATCATGCCAGAAAACAGTCGCTCGGCCTGGCGAGAAGCGGGAGAATGCTCTTTTCCCAGACCTCCGGCCCACATGCCAACATCCAAGGTGGATTGATCTGGCTGTGCAGCGAGGCGGAGAGAGAAAGATTTCAGTCAGAAAGAGCAAATCAGCGGTCCTCGCAAAGCTGAAATGTGTACAGGTATGAATGAGAGGTGTAAAACGCTTACTGGGATGATAGCAGCGGCGCGAGCTGAGCCAGATTAGAACGGCAGGTGACGGATGTGCGGTGGACTCACATATGGTGCTCACACACATATGCACACTAACTCTCCACAGACTGTGATGTCTTAATCATTAGATCTCTATTGATCGTCTGTCACCACGTTACTCCTGCAGTGCATCTACTGAACCTTCTCAGCTGAATTCAAGTCACTACGGAGAGAAAAGCAGGCATCTTATCAACACCTAATGAGAAATAAAAAAGATGTCCTGATCGTCAAACCCTGATGGCGTTTCTCCAGCAGCAGCTGCACAGCGCTGTGCATTCAAATGCGCTGGTTCAACGCCTTATTTCTCCTGTGTGTGTTCTTTTAAATGCAGCCTCTGTGAAACACTTTGGTTATTCTCCAGCTTGTAATGCGTTAAACAAATAAGAACTGATTGTTTAAAACAAGAGTTTACAACATTTTTTTAAAATAGTTTTTGCAATTTTTGACCTTTGAGGGGCCATCTGAGCTGAGGAACCTGAACTCAACTATGGTGATTTTAAACAAGCTTGTACTCCTGCCTTTGTTGAGGTCATTTAATGATAAAATGCATGGTCTTTACAATTCGATAGGTAAAAGGAAAAAACTGCACGCACACCATGTGATTAAATCAAATCAGGATCTTAATAATTCACAGGATGAACTTCTCCTAATGTTGTCCTAATGAGCTTCTTTTCAGTCAGACATTTTGGGAGACAATGTGTGAATGAGAGCAGCTTTTTAGGGAGATTTGGTGACATTAGGATGAGAAATAAACAGGCACAGAAAACAGGAGAGAATTCAAATCGGGTAAATAGCTGGAAGAGAGAAGAACACAAATTTGATGTGATAGGCCTAATTACTGCGTGATGCCATCTACCCGCATTCAGCAACATTTTTAAACACTTGATTTCTTGACAAATTGATGAGTAAATTTGAAATAAATTAGTTCATTTGGGGAGAGTGAAATTTAATCAGAATATGAAGTTGATTGTTGTAAAACTAAACTCTGTTGTAGAACTAGATGAGATGGACTGAATGTAGTTTATATGAGGTCTGAATGATGGTGGCTAGAGTTTAAGATTGCCAATGAATTGGTTGCTGCAGCCCTAATGCGCGCGCATGCACGCACACACACACACACACACACACACACACACACACACACACACACACACACACACACACACATGCAGGATATGACAACGAAACATTCCAGCGAAGAGATCCTACTGTGTTGATGTTTAGCAAGAAACTGTAAAAGAACGAAAACAGTTGTTTGTTTTTGCACCTTTGTCTAGACTCCGGCTGGAGTTACGAGACACAAAACAACAGGATTATAGTAAATAATAGTTTGCCATTGCATTCATTCTATGGTCACTGTTCAGACTGTAGGGTCTATCTTTATATATTGAATAACAGCATGAGGTGTAATAAATACCTTCCCCGCCTGCATGAGTTGACTCATCTGTCCTGTGACTCAGTCAGTGTAAATGTTTTGCATCAGTCGCTTCACAAAGGCTGAAAAGCCTCTAGAATATTAAGTTATTATAAAGGATTTTTTACACAGTGGGGACGGGGAGCTGCTGATGCCAACTGACGGTTGGGGTCTGCGAGTTGAACTCCTGTCCTGGGTATCTCAAATCTATGGTTGTTGTAGGATTGTCTTGGTCGACACATCTCTGGAACGCTGCACGGACATCCGGGTCGTGCATGTGGAGCGGAAAACTGAGGTGGTGGTCCCACTAACTCTAACCCTAACCTTGGAACAGCTCTTTACCTTGCTAGAGTGATAGAGGGGGTATGGGAGTTTGCTCAATCAGTTCAGATGTGTTTTGTGGGTTAGGAGAAGGCTTACGGACTAATCCCCAGGGGCACTCTGTGGGGTCAACTCAAGGAGTAGATGGTCCTCTGTTAAGGGCCCTTAAGTCCTTGTGCAGTACGTCCGGTCTGGTTCATGGTGAGGGTTGTTTGGCTCAATCTTATGTTCATTTCACAAGGCAGGAATTTTAAATTGTCTTATGATTTTACAAAACCTGAAAGACCACACGTGGCGATGAAAAATCATCAGTATAACAGTTTTGGTAACAGTTTTGGTTTTACAGTGTGTGGTGTGTGGCCACACAGCAAGAAACACACATTACACACAAACCAATTTCACACAAGAACATTCCCCGGTTGGACAGGAAATCTCCCAAGATCAATTGTGACTTTGGAAAACAAACATGAAGGAGGGAGAGCATAGACTGTACTTCCGTCGCCTCGCTATATGATTGGTTAAACGTCACATTCAACAGGCAGCTTGTTTGTCCCTGAGAATCAGACAAAGGAAATCCAGGTTTGGACACCCGTATTTGTAATCAAAACATTTCTGAGGTCCTTCTGAGGGGAACCACAACGCTTTCAACACACAACACACGGTAGGAGTATCTGATAATAAGATTATCTTTAGAGCCAATAGAGTAATCAGGCAAGTTTTTAAAAATGTCAGAAGGGGAGGATTGGGTCAAAAATTGGCACGATTATCCTGCTGGGTGAACCTGACCTTAGCGATAGGCTAGGAAGCTCAGACATCTGGGAGAAAGTCAAAGTAGAACAACTGTTCCTTTGTTTTGGGAGAAAGTTGAGGTGGTTCGGGCATTTGAATGAATCCAGGACTCCTCTAAGGGGAAGATTGTCAGACATGTCCTGCTGGCAGGAGGCCCCTAGGTCAACCAGAGAAATGCTGGAGATGTTAATGTCTCCAGGCTGGCCAGTGAAAACCTTGGTATCCCAGTGGTGGAACTGGTGGAGACTTCGGGGAGAGGATGGTTTGGGCCTCTCTGCTGGGGCTGCTACACCCAAAACTAAGACCCTGATTTTTCTACAGATTCACGTAAAGTATGGTGCATTTGTAAAGATGAGGGATGTCCACTCCACGACATGAAACCAAAGCTAAAATGAAAAATATTGCATTCTTTGAATGTAAAAGTCTGCTGCAGCGGCTCAGCCAGCCAGGCAGGGCCGGTTTCCTTCCAGAGGGTATATCTATTGATCTGTAAGATCAGAATGAAATTATTCTCCTGGCCACACCAGAGCCTGCTGGAATACTGATGACCTGCTGATGGCCTTCTCCTACAGCTTCCTCCACTGGACACACCAACTGAGCGGGGGGGGGGGGGGGGGGGGGCACGGCTGAGCTGGGAATATTGATTGGCCTTGAGATACGTAGATAGGCCAACTGTTCCTCATTCCTCCCTTCCTTTCTCGTCTCACAGCTCTGCTTCAAATGTTTCTCCACACTGTTGTTTTCCTCCGTTGCTGCTCACTCGTCCTCATCCCAACTCCGAGTACAAGCTGCCTGTGATGTAAACCTTCTCACTCACTGAGCAGGTCATTTCTTCCAGAAAAAAAATCCATGCTCTGCTCTTTCAACACAGTTTACAACTTTCTGTCTTTAAACTTCCTTTATCTATCTCTGAGAATTCCCAAATCCAGGCTGAAAGTGATAAAATGCGACCCATAATTGATGGCGAGAGGGCTGAAATCTCTGTGGGTCAGTTCAGAGAGTCTCTGTTTACATAATTAGCAGAGTCGTACAAAACAGTGTGGCAATTAATGTGTTGAACAAAAGAACTCAAATGAAAAGAAATGGCAGCAGACTGTACAGGCAACAATCAGTGAAGGCCTTCTGTTAACTACTGACTGAATGTCGTGTTGCTAATAAAGGATAAAGCCGGCTGCGAGCCAGAAATGGTCCTCGCTTTGCAATCAGCCAGTGCAGCCAAACCTCTCAGAGGTGACGCTGCGAGCAGCAGTCTGAGCACCACCGAGATTTATGACTTAAATGCCTTAAATAATGAAAAGCTTCAGAGCCGCCACTTTAGAGAATGAAGACATTCTCTGCTTCAAACCATGACACGTGGCTAATATATAATATTTTCACTAGGGAGCGCGCGTGAGAGCGAGAGGCGGGGACACAACAAGGGAAGTCCATTTGGATTTAAAGCTGGAATAGCTGATGTGCTGAAATAACTCAGCTGGGCGTCGGACGATGCGGGGACCTTTGCAAGATAGTGAACCGACAGAAGAGAAAAACAGCAGACGCAGCAGAGGAGGAGAAAGCCTGATTTGTTA